TATTCATTTAATTTAAATATTTAGTTTATAAATTATCTCAAATTAAATATAATAATGTATTTATATAATATACGAAATGTTATCAACATAAGTATAGACGAAAATTTTGATTAAATACATCATATTTTAAATAAATCGCATTTTTGTAATTATGATCTTAATCTGAATAGTAAATAGCTCACATAATATATACAAAAGTGATTAGAACATTCATGTAGCGCAAAGAAATCGATTGTAAATCTATTCCAATTGAGAGTGTGTAACGTGATTGCAATCTGCCGATGCAGGAATGCAGGACATTGCAATACGTATTGTGCTGCACTTTTAGCTTGACGCTCGTAATAGTATCGAGAAATATATCGTTTCATGTCGATTTAATTATGTCTGATGATACCAGACACGAGAAGGCACTCGTAACCAACAAATCGATTGAATTGACTTTATGCTTTAACGAGACTCATAAAATAACTACGCTCATATGTCATTACTTAAGATTTTGTCTAGTTATATACTATTATTTAGTAATTTTATAAAACTACGAATTCGTGTTGAAATGTTAAAAAAAAATGTATAAAAATGTTAATGTTATAAAAAGGATATATTAATATTAATATAAAAAAGATATAATTTTTTATATTAAAAATGACTGATCATTTCAATTCAAAATAAACAGCGTTCAAATTAACGTATGCACTTAATAAATAATAAACTAAATTTGAATGAAATTAATACATTTCTTGAATTAAAATGGGTTTAACTCTATTGTTTTATTAAATAAGAAAAATTTTATAAACATATTATAAGAAATTTAAGCCGTATATGTGAATATATGATGTGAAATATGAAAAATATAAAGCAAAGATCACATTTTTGGATGTTACAAATAATACATTATATTCTTTTATTAAATCAATTTATTCAATAACATTCGAATTTAACACAATCATTCTGAAATGCTAATAATCTCCCCTAAATTAAATTAGAAAGAAAGAAAATAAGAAATTTTATATTTGGTCAAAGCGGGTCTCAGTGCTTAAAAAGTTTTTGTGTGAATTTATGTATCTAATTCTACAAAATCGCGCGCAGAACTTTTTCTTGAAACGTAATCATGAGCAGAACCAGTAATAACTTTTTACTTTCTATTTAACACATAACTTAAAAAAGTTTTTTCATTTTCTAGAAAGGTATTGTATCGCTTTTAATATATTTTATAAAAATGAATTAAATATTATTTTTGTGTGTAGATGTGGATGAATGTGTGATAGAAAAACCATGCGGACAACTTTGCACAAACCTACCTGGTAGATATCGATGTCATTGTAGAGTCGGATTTCAACTTCAAGAGGATGGCCAATCTTGTCGAAGAAATGGTAGGTTTGCAAAATTTGAATCTGAATTTTTCGAAGACTAACTTTATGGATCTTAAAGTATTATCAAAAATATAAAAATTTTATAGAATATTACATAATTTATGTAAAAAAATGTTTTATTGATCAATTTTTATTCATTACTTAATTTTTTATTTGCCTTCATTCTTAAATAAAACGGCGCTTTGTACTTATTTATAAGTTTGATAAGATTATAGCATTACGAAAATTAAATCAAATTTTTTATATATATTTGTAAAATTCTAATAAATATTCGTGTAAAAATACATTTGGATCCAATTACTTTTTTAAAAGTTAGTTTATTTTTAAGTATTTAAGTTTTAAGTATTTAAGTACAGGAAAATTAAACATTTCGTTGTATAGAACCATTATAAATTAAATAATTTTTGCTTTATTGTAATTTTTAGAACAAAAATTTTTTGATGATATTAATTGATATCACAAACTTTTATAATCAAACAGCTGATAAAATATAATGAAAATGATTTCGATTCTTTATTTCCCTATTCTTCCTTATTCCCATTTAAATTATGCACATGTATGCGTATTATTTGTAGGTAATATATCACAAAATTACTGTGTAATTTAAACATACATATGAGTAGATGCACAATATCTTCAAACATAGCAGCGAAGTCAGCAGTCTATGTATCGAAATCTGTAGTTGATATTGATTATTTTTAACTGATTTTTTGGCTGATATTTTTAGTTAATAATTCAGACAAAACATTCTTAAAAGTAGATTAATTTTTTTACAGGCACTGACGAAAATGCGTTTGAAGCACGCGATTTGGAGATCGATGATATGTCCGCAACAAAGGATCCGACCACTTTTCACGGTATTATTTTCAAAAAGACTTAAATACCTCAAATTTTTAATGTGTATGAAAGATCCAATTATTTTATTTTATCGCTCCACCGATACCGTACAAAATTTTATACAAATAAAAAATTTAGGTTTTTTTCTCTCTTGCTTTCTTAAATTATTTTTTTGAAGTCACTATATATTTTTTTTCTGAAATATATACTCTAAATTATTGTAGTCTAAAAAGATTTTTTTCGTTCACTCATATAAAAGTTATAAATTTTTAACTAATATTTTTTCAAAAACTTTTATATATAAATATATAAAGAATAAATAAAATACTATTGATTTCTATTTCACTAAAAACTTATCTAAAAACTTCTCAAAAGTACAGATTTTTTTTCATATTTTTATATAGTACAGAACAAAAAAAATCTGTTGTGAATCTTAACAATTAATTATGAACTCTATATTATAGGCAGACTATGATGATCGAAAATTTAACGTTGTCAGTAAAAGATTAAAATTGTTTAAAATTAGAATTTTTATTTTATAAAATTACTAAAAGTTAAAATTTAGAATTGTTGCATTATTTTACGAGATTGATTAAAAGCTAAAAATAAACCTGTTGTTCACAATATTTGTGAACGTAATTCATATTAATAAAACGAAGTTTATAAAAAAATTAGTTAATATATAAAATAATAGACTCAGTATTGTCGAATTGCAGATACAGAAAATGAAGTGAGTGATGATGATCAAGACTACGAGGTCATTTTAAAAAGATTGATCAAATTGGAAAAGGTATGATTATATAAAAATGATTATTATGTATTATGTTGTTGAGGAAATATATTCATTTTTCAGCAAATAGCCAGAAACAGAAAGAGAGATACAGAAGCTTCTGAGATGAACACCAAAGTTACATTGGCAATTGAAAGTGTTAATGAAATGAAGAGAACCGTCGAAAATGTGGTATTTATAAGAAATATTGAAATATTAAATATATTTGAATCTCAATATAGTGCATGATAAAGATCTCGCAAATACTTTCCGCGAATTAAAAATTCAGTACATGGATAAGTGTGTATAAGGATGCGTACATTAATTTTTGTTTCCTTTTAGATCTATTTTGTTATTAATTTGAGAAATAGTATTATTGAATATTATTTTTTCCTTATTATATCTGTTATTAGTAGTGTGCACTAGTATATTTTACGTCTAAAATAATAAAAAAAAAAGATTTTCAGCATTGAATAAAAAATGCATATGATCTTGATATTCTAATTTAATATTACAATTTTTATGTATTCTATTTCTTAAAAAATCTATCAGTTGATCTAATAATAATGAAAGATTTAATGGAAGGTTATTTCAAATTTTTTATCTTAAAGGGAAGTTAACACATATTATAACTCGATAGTACGATTTCAGTTTATTTTCTTTAATTTTAAACTGATTTTCTTTAAATCAGTTTATTTTTTATTTTAAATTACATTATATCGAGATCTAGTAGATTGGTAAAACGAGAATATTTATATTATTTATGGATTTTGAAATTATTTGTTTTAGCAATTGATGCAACAAGAAATATACGATATGAGAAGCAAGATGAGACAATATGAGGCAGAAATGAGAAAGATACATCATCTGATGAATCGTGTCGCGGAATTAGAAAATCGTTTGAGAATACGTTGCAGATATCAATAAATTGTGGATAGTTAAAACTTTTAGCACTACTAAAGCATTGTTAAAATGATCAATACAATTTGTTAATAACAGTAGTAATACTATTTTAATAATACGAAATAGTAACTTACTATTATATTAATAGTAAATAGTGTTACTACTATTTTATTTAACAATAGATAGTAGATACACAGTAATATTCTTTTCATGAACTTTTTTACTTTTTTTTGAATAAATAACTAATAATACTTTTGGATTAGAGATATGTTTATATACAAGAAAATACTGTACATTTAAAAATTGAATATTTATTTTTTATTTTGTAACTACAAAGCAATGTTGTTCCTTTCAGTGTCAAGAAGTTAACGTAGTAGCTATAAGATTTACGCGGAATTATTTCTGTCGTGAAATATCACTGCCAGCATTTAGTATATATAATATTTCTTCAAACTAATAATAGTAACAGTACAATAAAATTTAAATATTAATTATTTGTACTCGATTTTATAATAAAAAGATAAATGATTCTCCATTTTTGTATTCGTTTCTTATATTAATCTATATTAATTATATTATATTCTTTTATTAATCTAAATTTTAATATAGATGAAAAAGTGCATAATATAATTTTGAAATAATATGTATATAGTACATATTATTATATAATATAGTTAAATATTACATGCTATTTAATTATTTAAAAGATTTTTTCAACAAACACTATATAAAGTAAGCAATTCACAATTTTGTTCAATTAATAATAATACTTGGTTAGAGAAAAAAAATTTAAATATTGATCAAAATTAATATTATAAATAGACATACACTGCAAATATTATAGAAACATTTCACTTTTCAATCATATAGCCTAAATGTATTTATTAAATGTTTTTAGAAATAAAATACTTTCTTCTTCCTTTTATTAATTTTTATTTTTATAAAAAGGAAATATACTAGCAATATACTTAAAAATTAATTTGAAATATACTTATGAAAAATTTTATTTATCTTTCTGAATCACTTTCTTCTGTCGTCTAGTAAGCCTCTTGCCTATTTTGCTTGTTTTCTTCGTTCTTGCTCTGCCTTTCTTATGCTTGATTATTTTTCTGTGGTTCATCCACACAGGATAATTGCCATATTGATCCCGCAATGTTTTCTTATTATATATTCTAGTACTTTCTATTTCCATCTGTTCTTCACCTATCACAGTCGTAGACTTTGCATCCTTAACTTGTTTAGCCTTTACATCTTCTTTTATTTTCTTAGCGTCGACAACTTCAGTTTCAGAATATGAAATATTCGTATTACATTATAATATATACAATAATAAAAAAATGCTATAAAAATTTAGATAAACAATTATTAATGCACTAGTGTGAATCATACCTGTTGCAATTTCAGTAATTTCTGTCATTTCGATATCCTTAGATACATTATCATCATCAATACCAAGAGTCTTCTTTAATCTATCTAATTCTTTTACTGCATAACGTTCTCTCTTGACCGCTCTGCATTTTCTTTTCCATTTACTGCGTAGAGATTTAGCCATCTTTCACACGTGCAGTTGAACGAAAAAGGTTATGTTACAAAGAAACACAAGAAACCTGTTCTTACTTCACTGGTGCGATTTACTTAACGGTGCAAATATTTCTGACTAATCAGAAGAAAGAATTTTATGAATGCCCAATCGAGTGTCCAAAAGAGTGTCTCAAAGCATTTGTAGTGTAAATTGGAATGCACCTTTTGTCACTGCAATGGACATAGGCACAAAGAAAGAGTTCAGTTGAATTGTGGAGAAGCCATCCCGGCCTTTTTCATGAAACCGTTGAAATTCTCTGTACTACCATCAGTAGGTATATTCATTTTCAAACTGGATATTACATATCCAGAAAGAAATCTGATATAGAAAGAGAACATGAGGGAACTTTTTCCCGTAACCGCAAAATATCCTCGCACCTACTGCCCTTTGAAAAAATGAATGCAAACCACATAATAATATTCATTTTCTTCAGTGCATTTATTTGAGCGATTTATTCAAAAAGTTAATATTGTTGTAAATTATATATTTAAATTCACAATGCAATATGCGAAATTTGTTAAATTCTAAATACTAATTGTAAGTTAAAATATATTAATTGAAATAAAACAATGATTTGTAATTCTTGTATTCTAAGATTCTACATATTTTGTTATATTTTGTTTCTGATTAGGTAATGAAATAATAGTGCAGATTATGAATGCGAAGATGTAAATGACTACAGAATTAAATGATTCAAAAGTAACGAAAAGTTATCTAGCTTTTGTTACAAATATTGCGTACCTTGCGCGGGTTTCGTGTAATAAAGAATTATTACAAACTAATTATCGCAAAATTATTGTAACATAATTTGAAATATCTAAAGTATAGATGAGTTGTGTGAGTGCGTAACGAATTTGGAATAAAGCAATAAAGCCTATTCATCGGAGAATATAATGAATAGATTATATGTCGCCACTGCTTTTATTTAATTAAGTCTTATTCGTAAGTTCTTATTCGTTTAACTATAACAATAAAGTAAAACTATTTAATTTAGGAAAACTATTAAAAGCTCAAATTTTGTTTAGAAATTATAAAGTCATACGTTAATGTGAATGCTTTGATACGAAATAACTCAAGCTCAGTTTAATACTAAATAATTTAATCTCATAAATAAAAATAATTTTGATGGTTTTTTTAACATGTTTTGTAAAATAATACATCTTGTTGGAAATAAAAATAGATGAGAATAAAATATTTTTGAAATATAATTATAACTTTAATTATAATTTGTAAATAAATAAAATATAGGAAAAAAATATTCACTCTATAAAAAGTGAATAATTTTAAAAAATGTTCTTCCATTAGTAATAATGTTATTATAATAGTACTTAATGACAATCGAAGTTTAATAATATCTGGATTCACGATACCCCGATGACTCGATGTATGATTAATATATATATATAATTATTTGTA